TCTATATTTGCTTACTGCCACAGATTTGTCAACCACAGCAGAGAGGCAGAGGAGGAGATAGGGAGTTAAAAAGAATGAATAGCATTTTGATGACAATCTAAAGGCCTGCCGTGCAAAAATGGCATTACTCAGAAGCCTTTTTTTTATAAATGTAGAGGCTTGTTTGCATACATTTTCTAGGTTGGACAGCCTGAAGGTCTCCTATTTATACTAGATCATTCCCGTGCTTTTCACCTGCAGACCAGATCCTTTAATCTCTGCTCATTAGGCCAGGTAAGCTATAGGTGTGGTCAGTGTTATGGTTCATTGAAAGGAGGGTGAACTTAAAACCCAGTGGGTTAAATATTCATGGTAATATATGCCATGCTATAATGCTGTTTACCTGAAACTCTCATTATGAGCTCGGTTGTGCACAATTTCCAATGAACATTGTTTGAAGTCTTCCTGCTTATTGTTCGCACTTCTGTGAAGTCACTTCTGTGGAGTATGATGTTATACACCAGCCACATGCTCCCAAGTCTTGGTAGCAATACTTCCCCTTGGATGGTGAGTGCTCTGATTCAGGAAAGGCATGTAGGTTATGTAAAACCCAACGGATGGGACATTTCGTTAGAGGCGAGTTGTGTAAATTTGGCATCTACTCAGAAGTCATGTTTCCTTTTGGCTGTGTTTATTAACAGCAGTCTAATTTTCATCTGAGGTACCTCTGCCAGAGCACGTTTAAGAATATTAATCCACCCAACTAGATTGGGGTTTGTAAAAACTGGTGCAAATGAAAATATCATTTGAATCAGATCATTGGTTAGCATTTTTCTAGAGCAAAATAAAAGTTTCCATCTGACATTTTGCTGTAGAGAGCAATGTTTTTCCCTATGCTTGAGTTGTTCTAGGTCATGATATATAAGAAAAATAGTGTAGACCAGTCATGGTAGTCATAAAGAGTATGGCATGGGTTCTGCTTGTGTTCTCACAAGCTTTGCTTGCACTTTATTTCCACTTTCTTTAACTTCTATAGCTAAATTCCCTGCACATTTAGAAAAGCTTTGTTTATTCTAGTTATGTATATATAAAAACAATTGTATTTTTATATACAGCGTGTATGTATTTATTTCAGGTACTTGTATAGTGCCATCAATTTACATAGTGCTTTACATATATATTGTACATTCACGTTAGTCCCTAACCCTCAAGAAGTGTACAATCTAAGGTCGCTAACTCACATTCATACATACACATACTAGGGCCAATGTAGGCAGGATCCAGTTAACCTAACAGCATGTTTTTGGAGTATGGGAGGAAACTGGAGTACCCAGAGGAAACCCACGCAGGCACAGGGAGAACACACAAACTCCAGGCAGGTGTGCTGTGTTTGGGATTTGAACCAACAACCCTTGTACTGGCAGGTGGAAATGCTAACCATTTACCCACTGTGCTGCCTATCTATCTATCTATCTATCTATCTATCTATCTATCTATCTCTCTCTACAGCTGTTTTTATTTTAGCAGTTTTTATCTACTAATCAATAGCATTTAAACAGAACAGGATTGGCCAGCTGTATATGCCCAACACTGCGTGTTGCCAAATGCAAAATTGATACAGCTTAAAGTATAAATAAAGACATTTTTTCTTTTTTTTTTTTTTTGGATAGAGTGCAAATGGATTAGAACACTTGCCAGTTTTTATTGCTGTCTGTTCCCCAATTAAGGAGACTCACTCTATATGTCCTGTTTACCATTATCAGTGAAAGAAAAGAAAATCCCTAATTATGGGTTGTTCTTAGAAAGGTAATAGAGGGGGAAATCTTCCAATGGAGACACTAGTTCTGCTAACCTGGGGGTCCCCAAAAAAATCCCCTAATTTGCAGGGATTTCCTCTCACTTCCTGTTTGACTATGGGAAAGAAAGTGAAGGGAAATATCTGTAATGGGACTCGGATGTTGGAAAAAAATCTGACAGGGGTTATAACCCTTGCTCTATCCAAAATGTTAAAAAAAAACATGGTCTGCCTATAGTTCTACTTTAAGGTTAGCAATCTATGAAAAGGACAACTTTACCTATGAACAATTGTCCTAATACATTCCCACTAGTGCTTCCCATTACGACAAACACTTTCTTTCAGTCCAATCCATCAATCTTCATTGTGTGGCCCTGCTTGGAGCTGCAAAGTCTTTCTCCCTAAAAATGGTCATTCTGTACTGCCCATGCATGCTACAGACCCATTCATTTGTACAGGAAAGCTGTGCTTCAAGCAACCTCTGGAGGCTGCCATTATTGACTTTCCCATAGGAATTATTCAGGCCTCTGTTTGCATGTGAATTATGAAGCAAACATTTTTGAGGGAAAGCCTGAGCAGTTCAAAACTGGGCCACACAATACATATTCTTGGACCGGGGCTAAAGGTAAATATATGTCCTAGTGGGATGCATTCAGGGGGAGGGAGGCTTTTATTAAAGGCAGTTGTACAAAGTTAAGAAAAATAAGATCTAGTAACACTCCATAGTCCTCCATTTTCAAATACCATATCAAGGTGCTCACTCTGTCAACCTAAAATCCATCATATAATGAGGAAAAAAAAGGAAAGACTCCTGTTGCGTAATTTCATTTTATTATATAACATACAGATCCTCTCCATACCATACCACATCCAAACTCTAAACAAAAAAATATTGAAACAAAATACTAGTTAAAACAAAAAGATGGATTTTATTGGTACAGCGATAAGCAGTTTTAGTATAAAATCACATATTTTATTAAGAACAAATTCAAATTTTCCATAAAAAATAAGAAAACTGCAACACCGCTGGACCATTTTCCGTCTGATATCAAATATTGCCCAACCCTGAGATGAAGTTTCAAACGGGTACTGTAACTTGAACATATATTCATTCATGTATTAGAGAACCATAGCTCATCAACATGTAGACTTCAGTCCTTTATATCAGTGTCCATAGATTCTCCATACTTATAATTCAATGAGTTTCACAAAGAATCTAATTTCCTCAGGACTGGTTGGGTAGGTGTTGCTGTAGAGTGTGGAATACAAAATTGATTTTATTTTTCATCTTAGAATATATACATTACCAATAGCATTACACTAATATATCAATAAATACATCAAGATTTCCTAATCAGAACATGTCCACAAGAGGAGGTGGATGGTTAAAATAGGTCCCAGGGGCGGACCACAGGAGCACAATGAGGGAAGCCGGAACCACCGCAGGGCGAGGACCCAGACGGCCAGATAGATTGACCTTGTATACACAGACTCGAAAGCCTCTCTATCAAGTAAAGGAAAACCAGCATTTACCTTAACAAAATCATGTGGTAAGAACTTGCCCTTAAACATTGAACTTTAAGTTCTCATAAACAACTCACCCCAAGAAAATGTCAAAGCCCATGGTCTAAAAATATATATGGATATGTCCACAATGTAGCAAATATCTAAAAATGGCAATAAAAGGATCAAATGTATAGAGGTAACTGACAATAGGACTAGCTCAACCCTAGTGACAGATAAATCGGTAACTCTGTAGGCAAGAAACGAAAAAATATATAAATAGACAACTATATGGTGATAACTCTATAAAATACCCCTTCAATAAATACATTTTAACTTTCATAGCACTGGATTAACTGCATCAGGGATAGAGCCATCCTCACATGCCCATTCCCCAAAGAGTAACCACTAATACAACCAGGGGCCGTTCACACAATCCATCATCAGTAAGGTCCATCGTCCAAGCCTCTCCAGGGTGGTTCCCTCTCCCCTCATTGTGCTTCTGTGATCCGCCCTGGGACCTATTTTAACCATCCACCTCCTCACACGTTCTGATCAGGAAAGCTTGATTTATTTATTGATATGTAGTGTGATGCTATCGATAATGTATGTATTCTAAAATGTAAAATTGAATCAGTTTTGTATTCTGCACTCTACAGCAACGCCTACCCAACCAGTCCTGAGGAAGTGAGATTCTTTGTGAAACTCATTGACTTATGATTATGGAGAATTTATGGACACTGATATAAAGGACTGAAGCCTACATGTTAATGAGCTATGGTTCTCTAATACATGAATGAATATATGTTCAAGTTACAGTGCCCTCATGAAACTCCATCTCCGGTTTAGGTAATATTTGAAACCAGGTGGAATATGGTCTGGTGGTGTTGCAGTTTTCTTTTTTTTTTTTTATGGAAAATGTTAACTATGTCTTAATATGTGATTTTATGCAAAAACTGCCTGTTGTTGTGCTGATAAAATATGCCTTGTTTGGTAACAAGTATCTTGTTCCAATATTTTTTTCCATTTGATTAAAATTCCAAATATACAGCCCTTGGTATAATCTGCACTAAAAATCACTCAAAGATATAATGTACCCCAACCATGTTGGGAATGCCCCTTGTAAGCTCCTGAATCACTCCCAGGAGAAAGGAGAACAGATATAATCACACAACAGAGGTACTGCTCAGATTGAGACAAGATTGGCTGGTTCTCCACAGTATGCACAGTAGCTATGGATATGCAGCTACTTCTGTCAATAGTTAAACTGAGTTCTAGAGGTCAAGTAAATGAAGCAAGTCTCCCAATGGAAACCTTTTCCAATATCTAATAACAATATAATTTTCTTGTGCTGCTTGATTAATTCTGCTTATTATTCCTACCTTCTTGAAAATGTTATACATAGGTCATACTTCCTTGTGGGATTTTCTTTCAAATGGTAGCTTATTTTACTCTATTCAAATCTAATCTAATGTCTAAGTCCAGATGAAATTACATTTAAGCTTTAAGCTTGCAGACTATAAAATATCAATTTAAACTTTCATATTTCTTTACCCAAATCCTTTTGTTGAACTGGTACATGGCCTAATAATCTCTAAAACTTTGTTTTTATTTTAAGACTGAAAAATAAATGTTGATTTGTGGTTTGTAAACAGAAGTCTGTTTTGTGATGTGGAAGTAGTGCGGTTATTTCAGTGCTTTCGTATTTTATTTTTTTATATTAGAACTGTGCAGCCGTTGATGGTTTTTATGACCGAGATGTTAAAGGACCTGATTTATTATTTTTAACTATGTCACTGCCGTTCCAAGGAAACTATACATGTATTGTGACATATGAGGATACTGGGAGGATTTATAACCTTACTCGAACCATTTGCATTAAAGCAGTAGGTAAGAAAAGCTAAGCATGAAGTATAATATGTTTAAACTCATTCTATTTTTCAGTTTCTAAATGAGATGTTGAAATGTCCTTGCTATTAAAATGTTTCCATGGATGAAGATTTAAAGTGTAACTCCACACAACTCCAAAAAGTTTTTTAGTTTGAATAGACTGTGTAAATGTTAGTCTCTATCTGGTTATTGAGGCTGTTCTTAACCCTATCAATGAGATTTCCGTACACTTTCTGTCCAAAGAAGCACAACAGAAAGTAATTAGGAGAAATCCTGCCTCTGACAGGTGTCCCCAAAACACGTGTTCCTATTTTGAAGATTTTCCTCTACCCCTGTTCTGATAACTGAAAACAACTGTGAAATTTCGGATTCCCCCCCCCCGCTCTTTCTCCTGGTCAGAAGGGTGACAAGAACAAGTAGATATACATAACAGGAGTACAGATAACCATGGATTAAAGTGTCAAATTTGCCTTTTGGAAAGCATATTTTCCAGACTCCAGCAGGGACCTCAGATAGATGTTTACTTCATCAATATCTGATCTAATTGTAGTTGGGAATGCACACAGGATACGCTTTTTTAATGTACTGCACTTATTGAATTTGGTGGTCATCATCATCTTTTGGACACGAGCAAACTAAAGCTGTCCATACACAGCTCAGAATTCGAGTTGTAGGTTGCCCTGCCAATAATACTTTGCTTAATAAACATAGATTAAGAAATTGAAGGAGCTGGGTGGAAAAGGGTTTACTGAACTGTGACTGCAGACAGTCGCAGTCACTGTTCGAGTGTTTTGAGAGCTGCAGGTGCCAGCTGTCAGATTGCAATAGCCAGCAGTGAGAGATTAGCTCAGACTGTTTAAAATGGATGGTGGGATCTTGTGGGCTGAACAAAAGAAATCTTTACCTGTATGTCCAGCTTAAGTCACTGCATGCAGGGGATGTGAGGTTGCACTGTCACATGTATCGTGACCCTTATCGTGTGACTGTTTAAAATCATTTAAAGCGTGTATGAAACGTTTGATGACTGGTTTGCTTACCGTTAACTCAGCAAGTGAGATGTTTACAAATGAATTGGATATTTTTACACCATGAGACCTTCATGCTTACATGATAAGTTGTTTGATTATGGAATAAGACACCGGACTCTAAGCTGAATAAATGTTGCTTATTGAAGCTTTCAGTTCAGGAAACAGTGGTGGGAGTTATATTACAACACGGTTCTTTAACATCTGCAAACAAACAGGGAACTTTCCAGCTCACAGGATCAAAATGACAAATCCTTAATGCAGTTCAGCACAGTTGCATGGCTTACTGCTTCTGCCACCCCATAAATTGGCTCCCATAGCTTTCAGAGAACTTCATGGTGTTCTTGATTCTATACTTTGACATCGGCCATCTGTTTGAAGATCACCTTGTGATTGCGGGTCTGGAGACCTGAACACAAGGTGAATTGATGAGTTGCTGGTGCAGTTTTTCACTTTCCTACACATCCTGCAAAAACCCCATCCTTTTTAGAACACATAGAAAGGTCAGCCTTCCCACAGCTCTGCACAAAAGTGTTGAACTGTTTCTTGATATCCAAGGATTCTACTTTTTATGTGCGGTGCTGAACAACTGTAGATAAATATTCAAAAAAACAAAACAACCTCCCATGCATACTTGAGGTAATGCATGGGAATCGCCTAGAAAAAGTCACCTGAGAAAGTGGGTTCAGAGGGCACCCCTTCACACAATAGAGCAGAGAGGTTTCCTTTCTTCTTATTTTCTGCCAATGATAAATTCCAATGAAAGTGAGGGCAGCTGTTGTCAATACTTTCCTAAACACACTGCTGCACCACCAGTTCAAAAGTGTAGGCATCTTAAAGCTGAAGAAATGTTTATGGGCCAACCCATTAGTCTAATACTCTCCCAGTACACCTGGTTTCTTTTGTGCAAGAAACCGCTGCTTTACACATCAATTGTATATCAGGTGACACTAATCCATGACATAGCATTGGGACCTTCCCGTTCTTTAGAAGCCAAAACTGTCTCTTCCAGATTCAGCCAAGGAATCCTATTCAGTGCAAAATCAGTGCTGTTAGCAAGGTCTGCATTAGAGTGAACATGTTGCTTTGGCCTACAGGGGCAAAGCATAGGAAACTTTAAAGCACAATTTTATAGTCTTGTACCTTTGCATGTAGTAATTGCATTGCTAGGATATTCCCAAAATGCCATTCTCTCTGAAAATGCTGATTCATTCTTTCATGCTTTAGTGCTCTATGCTGGAATAGCAAAATAACTGCCATACGCCTCATCACAAGTGTCCTCAAACAGACCTATGCTGCAGAGGAAAAGGGTGTGTGTAATACCAGTTCTGTTACTAAGTACTAATTACTGGTGGGCCGTGGATTGGGTACAGATGTGAAGGGTCAGACTGAGGTTGAGCTCCCACCGAATATCTTGCAAAGCTCCTGATCCTGAGGCACCCGAAATCTGTAACCTGCTCCCAGGTCTCCCACAGTGTGCCCGCACTGAGCCCAGCACACCTGTGCCACATTTTACAGCTCCAGACTGATGTCTAAACGCGGCAAAGAAGAGGGAGGACCAAGCGGCATGGCTCAGCAAGATGGCACCAGCTCCCTTGCACAATCACAGCACCTGGCTAGGGACAGAGCAGAGGACACGTCGGCAAGCTAGAGAGGTATGCACCCACCCTATCCAAGACTCAGGTTTCTGAGACAGTGAGTGACTGCTGGAGAGCCAGAGCAGCATTAGCTTACCTTTCATTATTCCCAAGACACAGCAGAAGGAGGGGGCACTGACTCAGAGGACACATGGAGTGAGGAGAGGAGCAGGGAAAAGCAGGCAAGCTCCATACAGGCTGCTGTGGCAAGCTCTACCAACATTATCAGATGTTTTTGCTGCAATACATACATGTAATGCTTCGCTGCATGCCCTGTCCAGTACTTTGCATTAGGAGGATATTGCATTGGTTAGGCAGGACATACAAAAAGTCAATGAAAGAACCACAGCTTTAAAAGGAAGGGTGAGCTCTATTGAAGATTATCAGGCTCCCATGAAGGCAGCCATACAGGCTACCAGATCAAAGGTCCTTCACCATGAAAACAGATTGGAGGACATGGAAAACAGACGGCAAAGAAATCATATCTACTTTCTGGGTCTGCCTGAATGAGCAGAGTGCAAGCAACCAGCTGAGTTCATTGAACACTGGTTATTGGAGGCTTTTGGAAAGGATAGCTTTACTGCCCTATTCACTGTTGAAAGCACTCACAGGATTCCTGCTGGACCCTTACCTTCAGGCAATCCTCCTCGCCCATTCATCCTGAAATTTTTAAACTACGAGTACAGATATAAAATCTTCACCTTAGCTGGTAAGAGAGAAAACATTGACTTTCAAGTATCTAAAATCTCATTCTTTCCCGATTTCTCTAGCAAAGTCCAGAAACAAAGGGCAAAATGCCAATATGTGAAAAAGCGCCTTCTGGAATTTCAATTATCAAATGCTATGTCATACCTAACCAAACTCAGGCTTGTGGATGGCAACAATACCCAGTACTTTGATACTCCATCAGCTGCCTGCTCCTGGTTGGATCGCAATGAGCAGCGACTGCGCAGTGCTAATAGGTGATGTGCCTATTCAAATATTAATGTTTTCTATGTGCCTTAAGTATTAGGCGGATGGCGAAACCTCACTATGCTACCTCGTTGGGTTCCCAGCATATGTTACCCAAGTCCTCACGCATTCCTTATTTCCAGGCTACTGGTGCTGCCCCCAGTAGTGTTCCTGAGGGGAATTTTTGGTTGCTTGTTACTATTTATTGTCTGGATGTTTTTCGTTTGGAGTGCAAGCTGACCTTTAGACATCTTCAAGTAGCTCTGGCTTGCTTACCATGTGCTACAGGTGTACTGTCTGTCCCAGACTACCTATGCGCTTTCCCCTTCTTAATACATCTTTTATGGATGACATCCGGGTTTGCTTCCACGTTTGCTAAGAGTAAAGTATCTGAGGACTTTTGTGGTCTTCAATGACCCCAACAATTTCAGCAATACACACTAAGATGGCTACCCACTTGACATTTATTTCCTGGAACATGAGAAGACTGGGTGACGCTTGTAAAAAAAACAGGCTGTATTAAATGCTTTGTTGTCCTACAATCCAACCGTAGTTTGCTTACAGGAGACACATGCAGACTGAGGGATGATCAATCTGTTCAGAAAATTTCTGTTTAAATTTTAATATCACTCCACTCATTCGACCTATGCAAGGGAAGTTAGTGTTTTAGTTAACTCCTCGGCCTCTGTCTCCTGTTCGCGTGTTGAAGTGAATAATCAGGGCAGATATGTCTTTTTATTGTGTACCTCAGAAGACTGGACATATACGTTGGCAAACATCTATGTACCACCACCATACAAAAATGAGGTCTTTCATGCATTATCCCACTTCATGCCACAATATCCCACTGTCCCTGTTATTGCTGTTGGAGATTTTAATAACTTACTGAATCTGACAATGGATAGTTGTGCTTGAACCGAGAGTGGCGAGATGCATATAACCACCAGTTTTACTAGGCAGCTGGGGGAGCTGGGATTGTATGATGTATGGCGAGAGCAACATCCACATGAGTTTGCATACTCTTGCTATTCTAGCTCTTGTCAATCTCTATCTTGCATTGACTTTGCACTATGTTCAACGGTCATTCTTCCATGGGTCAAGTCCTCTGCCTATGGTTCTCGTGGCCTGTCAGATCATTCTCCTCTGATCCTGAACTTTGCTAAACAAGGGGTGCTGGGGCTCGTCCCCTGGAAGGTAAACTTTTTCTGGCTCTCCATAATTATGTATTCTGAAACGGTAATGAAGCACCTCACTGTTTAAGTTTGAATAATGGCTCTGCTTCTTGCTTGGTGATCTGGGACTCCTTAAAGGCATAAATTGGACTCCCCACTTAGGGTGGAAGAACTTACTGAGACCGCTGCAGGCTCTGCAAATAATAAAGCTCCAGACTTTGGACCTGAATTATTGGACATGCTGCAGGAAACCTTTTCTCAGGGCTCTCTTCCTGATACCATACAAGAAGCAATTATATTAATGATTCCCAAGCCAATTAAAGATGCCAAATACCCAGAGTCATACAGGCCAATCTCCCTCCTTAATGCAGATGTCAAAGTCATTGCCAGGACATTAGCCAACAGACTCACAAAATATGTTTCAAAACTGATTCATAAGGATCAGTCTGGCTTCATCCCAGCTAGATCTCCACAAATATTAGAAAAAATTTCTCAATCTATACTTTCTCAATACCTACTGATAATCTGGGTGGAAGAGCAGTGCTGTCATTGGATGCAGCTAAGGCTTTTGACAGCATGGAGTGGCCTTATTTGTGGGAAGCATTACGAGCATTTGGAATAAGCCCCATTTTCAATAAGTGGATTCTATTACTATACTCCTACCCAAGATCAGAATTAATGGAGTACTATCAGAGCCATTTAATCTCCATAGGGGCACGAGGCATAGGGTGCCTGTTGTCTCCAAACCATTCGCCCTAGCAGTAGAACCCTTTACAATTGCAGCCAGACAGACTACTAACATTACTGGTTTTAGATGTGGCACCAGGAAGACAAAATTAGCCTTTATGCCAATGATACTTTACTGTACCTAGGTGACACACAACAATCTCTGACTTCCCTAATGGAATTGATCTCTCATTTTGGCAAATTCTTGGGCTTTAGTATCACTTGGGATAAGTCTGTCTTACTTCCTTTTGGATCTGTTAAACCACAGGCAACCTCCTGCCACCTCTAAAATTAAAGTTGTTGAGTTTTTTAAATATTTAGGAGTACTCATCCATCTGGTAGTATTTAGATATCTGGAATTTAATTAATGCCCTCTGTTAGCCAAATTTAAGGTAATTCTGCCTGCTGCTGCAAGCGTCCTTTAACGGTTTACTGTTTGTTCTAATTTACTAAAAATTATTTTGGCCCCCCAAATATTATATATCCTGCATAACTCTCCCATTTGATTGTCACAAAAATGGTACAAACAGATTGACACTCTGTTCCAAGACCTTATGTGGAAAAAGAAATCCCCCCCCCCCCCCCGAAGCAAATTACCAACACTCCAACTAGAAAAATATGCTGGTGGACTGGCCATTCCCCACCCCAAAATGTCCTTTTTTGCTGCCCAGCTTCATGGGCTGGGATACACTTGATTTTGAAGATCCTATCCAGGCGGTTCTACTGTCCATTAGTTCTGAATATCCTCTTTCTCAGCTGGAAGCTGATTTATTTGTGTCATTCTCGCTGTCTCCCACACTGCTTCTTTTCCACCAACTATGGTCTTCTGTTAACAAAAAAAAAAAAATACTGAAATGGGACGGTTTTACTAGCATTACCCCACTGTCAAATAACTTGCTGTTATAGGAGATAAACAAATGACAAGGTTTAGGGATGTGGCTGGAAAGGGGTATAAAATACCTGTCCAAATTGTATCAAGGCCTTTATAAACCTTAAAATACCTTGAGGACTTTCCAGGCTCTCCAGATGGAATTGAATCTTATGACACAAAAGTTTTTTCGGTACTTACAGTTGAGGCATGCCTTAACTACCCAAGTCTACACATATAAACTAGTAGAAAATAATGGTTACTCAAACCAATTCTAAAAACTATACCGGACCCTGATGGTGGAGATACATACATGCACCTATATCCCAGCTAGATGGGGATGGGAGGCCCATTAACTGAGGAACTATGGTAGGAAGCCTTACATATGACTCAACCAACTTTTTATTCTTCATAGGGTTTATCACACCCCAGTTAAATTACATAGATGGAATTGTAGAGGCACAGATCTGTGTCCTAGATGTGACAGAAGTCCAGCAGACGATCAGGCGGTGCCTGAAACTCCATAGATATTGGCATGATATTGTTTCTCTTATATAATCTATTTACCAGGCTAACATAACAATAGAACCCAAGATATGTTTTCTTAACATGCTTGATGAGTCTATTGTGCCCACTGAGCTGGTACAGCCTGTCAACAGATTGCTTTATATAGCATGAAATGGATGTTATCCAGCCCTCCCTCAGTAGCAGAGTGGAAAAATCAAGTTAATAATGTAATCTCCAGAGAAAAACTGATATTTCAACATAGAAATTGTATTGGAAAATTTGAAGCTATATGGAACCCCTGGTTGGCAATACCCAGTTTGGCTTCATTCCATATGATCGCACATAGTCTGCTCTCTCTATAAATGTGAGGGGTGTTTTATATTACAACAGTTGAAATTTACACATACAGTTAGACAAATGCAGCATGACATTATTGGAAGAGGTAACAGACTGAGGCCAACTTGTGCTGGTTTATCAGTTTTATAGTCTTAGGATATATGTTCATATGGTGTACATATTTGATTGGAAAGTTACTCTATATTTTATATACAATGCCAACTGAACGACAATGGTAGGAATACTGATGATTATTCCTGGAAATTATACTGCGGCACTACCAGTATGCTTACAGACTGGGACAAATGTCTTATTTACTGATTGCTGCTTTGTCACTGTATGACCAATGTTATTTGATTTGTTTTGTAGTTTGTTATACACAAATTGTGAATTGGTTTAAAAACAAAATGCAAAAAAAAAACTTAAGATCTGATTTAAAAAAAGTACTAATTACTGAATGTCTGTCTTAAAGTGGTTGTAAATCTCAGACTTGAAATATGAACAAAGCATATCCCTATATAGTGCATGCTTCTATACTGTAGTGTCTCAATTAAGAGCTCTGTCTTTTCTGTTTGCTTCTCCATTCCTCTGCTCTCAGCATGAGTCACTTGACAAGTTTTCCTGACACCAAGAGAAAAAAGGTCACAGGGAAGGGAGCTCCAGCACACAGCATGTGATTGATGGCCTCCGCTCTATTCCTGTGTGCTGTGTAAAAAAAAAAAGGGGGGGGGATAATGTCTCTTCCCTCCCTCAGCTCTGGGAGCTTTCCTCTCTGAGCTCTGCAGAGCATATTTTCAGATCTCCACCCCCTGCTTTCTGGAAGCTCAGGCAAGCTGTATACATTTTGGACTTTGAATGGAGGTAGAAAAGAGAAGACTGCAGATAGACAGGTACAACCTATGAAGGAGGATTGGTCTCATCTCTGCACATCATCTGAGGCCAGTAACATCTTATGCAATCACTATACACAGAATGTGCATTTCAGACACTGCATTTCAGACACTGTAGTCCTTTACGGGGAATGTTCTACTAGAGAAGTATTGGAGCTGCTATGGCTGAAAATGCTAGTTGCCTTACTGGCTCTGTCATTACTTCTTGAGTCTGAGACCTGAAACAAGCGTGCTTTAAGTCATAAGTGTCAGAAATGCTTATTTTTAGATTTGTTTCATGTCAGTGACTCAGAAAGCATTGAAACCAATCTGCATGATATCAAAGGGAATCAACGTCCCCAAAATGAGAGGTCAGCAATGGAATCTCACATATACTTATCCAGATTACATTTAAAGCTGAATTTCAGCCTTACCTTAATTCTTACACAGGCTGTACAGTACTCTCTCCTGTACAAAAATTGCTTACTGTTATGTCACTGCACACTATGAGCTTTTCACAATGTGCATCAGAAGCTGGAGCAAATCAGAGAATGTTTGCTTCATTTTCTGGCTGGACATCCAGTCCTTTCCACCTCATCCTTATTCTCCCTAGCCTACAGATTTCATTCTTTGGATTTCAATCCTTTCAATCATGGAGGCTCAGCATTACATGTGGGCGTTACCTAGAGTGATCTGCATGCAGATACAGCCTGCCTAAGAATGACCACTCCTCCAGACTTACATTCACCCATGAATTAATTTTTAGATTTGCATAACTCTTTCCTACTACTGCATGCATCAAGGCTGAGGTCTCTTGAGAGGACTTAGGCAGAATGCTGTGATGTTTTAGGAAGCTATGTACAGCATGCTAAAGACAATCCCACCAACCATGGTCATCTTGCATTGCATATGGAAGCTTAGAAACCCAATGATTACATTGCTGGGTCTAAAAATAAGGTATGCAATGAAAACAAGTGTGATTAAAAAAAAATAATTATTACGTGATATTAAAGGCAAATAAAAAATAACAAACCTGTTATATTTACCTGCTCTGTGCAGTGGTTTTGCACAAAGCAGCCCTAATCCTCCTCTTCTCAGGTCCCCCATCAGTGCTCCTGGTCCCTCCTGCTATGTGCCCCCAGAGAAAGCAGCTTGCTATGGAGGCACCCAAGCAGGCTCGCTTCCGAGTTGCTGCTCTGCGTGTCCATTCACATACAGAGACTCTACTCAGCTCCGCCCTTCTCTCCTCATTGGCTCACTGTGATGGATCCTGCTGTTGTCTCAGCCAATGTGGAGAGGAAAAGTCCCCAGAGAGCTGAAGCTCTTATGCACATCACTGGATCGCAATGGGGCTCAAGTAGGTATTAGAGGGTGCTGGTGGGTTGCTGAACACAGAAGATTTCTTTACCTTCCTTCATAGAATGCATGCAGGTAAAAAAAACCTTGAGCCTTTACAACCACTTTAGAAATGGTGGTGGTGGTAACCAGGAAGACAAATTATAAACAGATTAAGCTTTAGTGTTAATAGATCAATATCATGGGATCTACTAAATATAGAATAATTTTTTTTCCATTGACTTGTAACATACAAAAGCCTAACACCGAATTCTGTTATCTTTATGTTTTCAGCTTCCTCACTAGATGCCAAACCGCCTGTAATGCGTTCTCCCAATGATATAGTGAGCTATCAATTTGCAGTAGGTATGTTGAGCTGATTATAATATTGGTTCTAGAATGTTTTATATCTTCCCCAATATTGTATTGTATTTGTAATTGGGCTTACTTGGAATACATAAAGACCTCTCCATGTTACAATAACATGGAAATGAGTATCAGACACTTTCTTTTCCTGCTTAATAATTTGCATTTTAGATTGTAAGCTCTAAAGAGCAGGGCCCACTGATTTCTCCTGTATTGAATTGTAGTGTAACTGTACTGTCTGCCCTCGTGTTGTAATGCACTTCACAAACTGTTGGCACTATATAAATCCTGTATAGTAATAATACATATAATATGACTGCAATGTGTGCAGTAAGGCTTTCACTTCTCTTGTCATCCTTGACTTAGCCAAATTCATTTTCAAACACAAGCAAGTCAGCCAAACATAGTTCAGGAAGGAGACAGCTCACAGCTGACCAAGCAGCAGCATGACATTAGATAGCATGATTATTATTATTTTTATACAAGATTTATATAGCGCCAACAGTTTGCCCAGTGTTTTACAGAATAAAGGGGAACGGTATAATTACAATACTATTGAAGGCACAAGATTTAGAGAGGCCCTGTTTACAGCCTAAAAGAAAAGGGATGTGCGTCAATCGATGGAAGCTGTGAGGGGAGGAATTGTATGAGAAAGTAAGATTCAGTTGCTAGCTAGAAGCAGGATAGGCTTCCCTGAAGATACGTGTTTTAATGGATCCCATAAAGGCTGACCGAGTAGGAGACAGACATACTGGTTGGGGTAGGGGATTCCAAAAGAAGGGAGAGGCTGTTAAGTCCTGGTTTCAAGCATGAGCAGAGGTAACAAGGGAGCTAGAGAGCAGGAGGTCTTGGGAGAAGCACACTTTGATTGTTTGTTTATATGTACAGTAGGCCAGCAATAGATTATGCTGTTTTCTTTCCTTGAACCCTGGACTGAAGGAAACAAAATTGCTTGATTCCCTGATCAACACAGTCAGTGTTGATGGGGGAATCCCTCCTGTAGCAGAAAGTTTCCCCGCCATTAGAATACAATGATCACTGCTAGTGGCTATCCTCACCAGCAGTGATCGTGTGAAAAAAAACCTGACAGGCTGGTTGCAGTGAAGTTGATCTATCGATCGACTTCAGTACACACCATCCTGCCCATAGATGGATTGGAATTCAGCCAGTTACTGCTGAAGCAGCCAAATTTCGATCAGTCTATGGCTGGCAAAGCATCATGGGAACTGGTTTATTCCCTTTTTCAGACACAAATAAGTCAGCCATACACAGTTTTGCAGAGAGGTCTCATCATGCAGCTGGCCAATTGGCAGCAAGGGATTACTGTAGATTATAGTGTCCACTGGCTGGTTATGTTTATATATCATGAGAGCGGATTCATTTCCTTTCAAAAAGTAGTCATGTACACCGGGGAAGCAGCACCTGCACAGGGGAAATTTTAAGTGCATGTTGGAGAGACGACTATAACACGTGAAGATATTTTTGGAGATTTGCTAAGGGTTGTAAATGGGGCCATCTGTGCAAAATATGCAAACAATTTTCTTAATGTGCATTATTACTATTTTTTTAATTATATTCATCTTCATCAGAGCTTTCTTGCTATTGTTAACCAATTCAATACCGGGCAATTTTACACCTTCCTGCCCAGGCCATTTTTCAGGTTTCAGCGCTCTCACATTTTGAATGACAATTGCGCAGTCATACACCACTATACCCAAACTAAAATGTTATCATTTTCTTCACACAACTAGAGCTTTCTTTTGGTGGTATTTAATCACCACTGGGGTTTTTATTTTTTGCTAAATTAACAAAAAAAGACCGAAAATTTGGAAAAAAAAAAAAACATTTTTCTTTGTTTCTGTTATAAAAGTTTGCAAATAAATAATTGTTCTTCATAAATTTAGGCCGAGATGTATTCTGCTACATGTCTTTGGTGAAAATAACCCAAATTAGGATGTATTTTTTAGTTTGTAGGAAAGTTATAGAGTTCACAAACTATGGTATAGATCTGATTATTGATCAATCCTGAAGTACTGACAGCCAATCTAATGTCTTGAGGTCCAAGAATGTCAGAATAGTACAGATATCCCCCAAATGACCCCTTTTTGCAGAGTAGACAGTCCGACGTACTTCATAACAGGCATGGCGAGTTTTTTGAAGTTGTATTTTTTTTGTCATTTTTCGGAAAATGGAAAAATAAAAATTATTTTCACTATTTTTTTTTTTTTACATACTGTCACCAGTGCAGTACAGCGTCATCATATAACTGGCATGGCGATGATCAGGGACACTGACTGGTGACAGTGTGTGAAAAAAAAAAGTGTTTTTATTTTTTTTTTTTTATTACATTTTTTTTCTTTTTTAAGATTTTTTTTTTCATATTTCACTATGTCCAAAGTAGTACAATGTTACCATAGTAACATTGTACTAATTTGGGGAAGTGATTAGTATTTTTTTTTTTACACAATTTGCTTATAGCAAAGAATTACTTTGCTATAAGCAAGCATTTACCTGAATGACATTGATTCATTCAGGGGTTTTTTTTTTTGTGCTTAGCTGTGGTTGGCCACAGCTAATCACATGACATGTGCATGTGATTAGCTGTGACCATTCACAGCTAGACACTAGTATACAATGGATGGCATGAATGAAGCCATCCATTGTATACAACTGTCATGTGACCTGCTGTGATTGGTTACAGCAGGTCACATGGTACTGGCAACGGGGCCGATACTCAGATCTGTCATCGGCCGTGTCCGAGGTACACGGCCGGTGACAGATCGCGCTGCTGCACGTCTCTCTGCAATCGCGTGAACTGCGCATGTGCTGGAGTACGCCGAATGGCGGCCTCCCGGAAAGCTAGTGCATTTTTTCCGGACGCCATACGGCCATTGGTCGGGCGTCAAATGGTTAAATAAAAGATATCTGGGATATTTTGTAAAAAATACTAACAAGTCTTTGTAAGTTCCACCTATTGTGTTTTGGAAGGATTGAATTATTGCTGTTATTATAAGAAAAATGAATGAAACTGTGCTTGTGGATAAATGAAATCAAAATATGTACCTGAAAAGCAGCCCGTACACTACTAGCTATAAATAGTGCATACACATTTGACTGAAGCAGTACTACGCTGATCAGGATACCATATCACAGAAACCTTATTTAAAGGAAACAAAGTGCCATGTGCCATCATAAATATATGTAAAAACAATTTAATTATTGCAAGTGAATAAATTATACACATCACTGTGATTAAATATAAAATGTGCAGCATAAAAAAAACAATTAATTAATGATAAACTTAGAATTCATCAAGTATACAAAGTGCCATTTCCCAACATAAATATATATGAAAACAATAAAATTATTCCATGTGAATCAAATACAAAAATCACTGTGATTAAATGTAAAATATGCTACATTGAAAACCAATAAATTAATAATAAACCCAAAATTCATAGATGTAATGTGTTGCATATCATACAAACAAATAATTACAAATTGACTGCCACCAAACAATAAAAAAAAAAGTCATCCACAGATATTGTCCCATGGTTGGAAATGAAATGGCTCAAAATGCTCCACGACCCACCAGTTCTCTTCCACCCATACTGCACACAAAAGGGGTTACCTGAACACTGACTCTCTACAACAGAAAAGTCATATAATGCTTGTTAGCAGGACAAATGTCAATACTGCTAATGAGAATAGGTCCTGGTATTCAATTCCACTTCCGATACTTGATCATCAGAACACCACGATGCTCTACTACAGAAAAGTTCACAACGCTTGTTAGTAGGACAAATCTCAATACTGCTAATGAGAATGGATCCTGGTATTCACCTCCACTTCTGAAACTTAACCATCTCTGGCCATCCAAACGTATCAAGAGAAAAAAAAAAGCCAAAAGCTCCAAGTAGCATAAAACCATTTATAAAATAAATTAAGCCACTCACATTTGAAATGAATTACAGCTACAGTGGGGATCGAAAGTTTGGGCACCCCAGCTAAAAATTTGTAGTAATGTGCATAAAGAAGCCAAGGAAAGATGGAAAAATCTCCAAAAGGCATCAAATTACAGATTAGACATTATTATAATATGTCAACAAAAGTTAGATTTTATTTCCATCATTTACACTTTCAAAATAACAGAAAACAAAAAAATGGCGTCTGCAAAAGTTTGGGTATCCTGCAGAGTTAATATCTTGTACTGCCCCCTTTGGCAAGTATCACAGCTTGTAAACGCTTTTTGTAGCCAGCCAAGAGTCTTTCAATTCTTGTTTGAGGTATCTTTGCCCATTCTTCCTTACAAAAGTCTTCCAGTTATTTGAGATTTCTGGGCTGTCTGTCACGCACTGCTCTTTTAAGGTCTATCCATAGATTTTCAATTATGTTGAGGTCAAGAGATTGTGAAGGCCATGGCAAAACCTTCAGTTTACGCCTCTTGATGTAATCCCCCGTGGATTTTGAGGTGTGGTTTAGGATCATTATCCATTTGTAGAAGCCATCCTCTCTTTAACTTCAGCTTTTTCACAGATGGCATCAAGTTACCATCCACAATTTGCTGAAATTTTATTGAATCCATTTTGTCCTTCTACTCGTGAGATGTTCCCTGTGCCACTGGCTGCAACACAACCCCAAAGCATGATTGATCCAACCCCATGCTTAACAGTTGGACAGAGGTTCTTTTCATTAAATTCTGTGCCCCTTCTTCTCCAAACGTACCTTTGCTCATTCCGGCCAAAAAGTTCAATTTTAACCTCATCGGTCCACAGAACTTGTTTCCAAAATGCATCAGGCTTGTCTATATGTTCATTTGCAAAGTTCAAACGATGATTTTTGTGGTGAGGACGTAGAAGGGGTTTTCTTCTGATGACTCTTCTTCTTGAGCTGTTCTGTCTGATATTTTTCTTGGTCTTCCAGATCTTGCTTTAACTTCCACTGTTCCTGATGACTGCCATTTCTTAATTACATTCCAAACAGAGGATATTGACATCTGA